GAGCTCATCTGCCACTCAGCCTTGGGAGAGTTCCTGGCCATTATCGGGGACAGCAAAAAGCCTCAGTTTCTTCATTCAGCTTCAGATTGGTCCAATTGCTGGTTCCATTCTAAACTTGAGATTCCAGTTTCCTATCTGTCCCCATTTCCTGCCCTGGTTTCTTAACCCTTTCTGCCACATCTCCCTAACACCTAGATCATCACCTCTCAGACTATTATAATGTGCACATGAATCCCTGAGGATCTTGTTAAAATGCAGATTATGATCCAGGAGATCTGGGGTGGTGCCTGAGATTCTGTATTTCTAATGAGCTCTTGGGTGATACCCATGCTGCTGGTCCAGGGCCACACTTGGTAGCAAGGGCTCATAGCAAGTCTCCTAAATGTGCTTCTTCACTCACCATCTTTCTCCACAAAGGGGAAAACACAAGTGCTGTCACATTGCCAGGCTTTCTGGATCTCACACCGCCAGCATCATTTGTCCCCGGCATAGGAGAGTGCTCAAATCCCCTGGAGATGCCATGAGAAATACTGATTCTTGGGTTTCACCCCCTGGAGATTCTGACTCACTGGGTCTGGGGTAGGGCCTCAGAATCTGTATTTTTAAGAAGCACCCCCCCCCCCCCACCCAGGCAGTCTTAATGATTTTTTAAGAACAAGTGTCTTACAGGTTAAAGTCCAAACTGAAGCCTTAAATATAGTCTTCCCCAGCCAATCCAATCTCCTTTATTTCTCATTTATTACTCCCCCCAAACCTTTGTTCCGGGCAGGCTGTCTCTTAAAAAGACCCAAAGCATTCCCTACTCTTTACTTTGGCTCCACCTACAAATTCTCCCCACTCTAGAATTACTCTGTCTTATCTGTGTATGTTCATGGTCACTCCACCAAGAATACGAGCTACTGGAAGACAAAGTGCCACACACACAGCTGGTAGGAAGAGACTTTGTCTCCACTCTCTTTAGCCGTGTCAACTCCAACCATCCTCCCAAATTCTACCAAGTCACTGCCTCCACCCCCATATTCAAGTCCCATGGGAAACCCACTTTTCTGGAAGAATGGAAAATGTGACTCTCCTGACTGAAATAGAAGTGACACCCTGTCCTGACACGTAGGAAAGGATGCTGAGTCACACTCCAATCCTATCTGGAAACAAGTCCCTGGGGACAGGGACTTTGTCTTATATTTGTTCTATGCTATTTTCATAAGTCAAAAGCATCTCATGTTCACCATTAAATGAAATGCTAAGTAAACATCTGAGTATGTTTGGTGATCTGCCAGAAGGTGACACATAATGGTAGGGATGAAGAGAGTCATTACAGCTAATTAGTCAAAATGACATCAAAATTTTCTAATTAGCTTTTGTAAACATCCTTGTGCCAAGAAAACATTAGGTGTTGAACCTCAATATATCTACTCCTAAAATATGATTAGAACAGCCTACGGTGCCGCGGAACACGTAAGGCTAACGCCAGTCATGAGAAATCAGGATCTACCAGCATCAGTTTAACTTACACAGGAAGAAACACTTACGGCTCAGTAAGAATTAAAAAGTGAGGCCGACTCAGCACCCAGGGTTGTCTAAAGAAAGAGAAACAACATCCAGGAGTCCTTTTTTTTTTAAAGATTTTAAAAATTTATTTATTTATTTGGCACAAAGAGAGAGAACAAGCAGGGGGAGCGGCAGGCAGAGGAGAGAGAGAAGCAGGTTTCCCGCTGAGCAGGGAGCCCGATGTGGGGCTCGATCCCAGGACCCTGAGATCATGACCTGAGCCGAAGGCAGACACTTAACCGACTGAGCCACCCAGGCACCCCTCCAGGAGTCCTCTTTGTGAACCACAAATATGCTCTCTGGACCAAACCTAACAAGAGAATACATGATCCATCAAGATGTCACCCAAACCTGCCTCTAGCTCATTCCCCAACCCCTCTCTTCCAATCCAGGTGTTCCTGTACCTAAAGCTGTCCCCTGCCCACTGCCATGCTCTTTCTCCTATGCCTCTATTCTAGGCACATACTATTTTCTTTGTTCAAGAGGTCCTGCCACACACTCACTCAACCTTTAAGATCAAATGTCCCCTCTGGAGAAAAGGTAGTTGCTTCATTCTAGGGAGGGAATGGGGTCTAAACTGCTGCCACTTATTCTGTAAGAAGCCAGAGTTTATTTCTATTTAAACAATACTTAAGGAATTTTTAGAAGGTCAGAAGGCCCAAAGATAGCCAGGTTTAATATAATATTATAGCCAGGCGCCGGCAGCTGCTGCCTGTTTTGAAATCTTCAGGACAACCCTGGGTGGTTTGACCCTGGTAATTCTCCCAGTCCACAAGTGGTGCATTCCTCTGAGTTTTGGTGTAATTCACACGAGGCTAGCCCTCAAGTAATGATGACCGAAAACAGTGCTAGAAGCAATCATTGTCATTGAGAGGAAGAAAGGTAAATGATCAGAGAAGAAAGCCACCATAGCAATTTCAAGCAGCAAAATTATTAATTCAGTATAAAACAAATGAGCATTTGCAGAATCTGTATGAAAACCCTTCTTGCATTATTCTTTGAAACCAGATCCTGTGACTATGAGCTCAAGGAGCTGGGATCTTGACAGATCTTGTAATAACACGTATCTTCATATTCTTTTTCTCAGACTCTTGCACAGTGCCTGAAAATCGGCAGACATGTGATCAGTGTCTTTCAAGTAAATGGAGGAGTTGCTGATTCACCTGTATGAATAGGACTTTCTGCCCATTAATCCGAGGTCAATCCCTCTTCTGACTTTATTGGGCTTTTCCAGAGTAAAACCCAACACTAATCTCTCTGAATCGCAACAATAATAACAGTTTTATAGTAAGAGCAACCAGTATTAATTGAGCACTTACTAGGTGCCAAATGCTGTGAAGTCTTAACATGGATAATTTCAGTTAACTTCACAAATTATCCCCACTTTCCAGAATAGGAGCTTGGAGCTTAGGACACCAAGTAATTTAATTTGCCTACGTCATTTGCCAGGGCAGTACGTGAAGGAGTCAAGATCGAAGCACAGAAGCCATATAGTGCATTATTAAGGTATAGTGCTCACAACTAATCAATGCCACTAGGCTCACAGTTATTGACTCATTACCGGTGATGCTGATCTCCACTGAGCAGCTCTTCCCACTCCAGGCATGCAGCATCAGACCCTCTACGGCTGGCTGAGGGGAGCACAAGCCCCTTGGATTTGTGGAAGAGCGTGGGGCCATCTCAGTGTTGCCACTGGCCACTGGAAATTACCATGACAACGCGCTTGTAGTCTTCTTTGGTGGGCTCTGGCCCGGTGATGAGTGCAAGCTTCTTTACTCCTTATGTATCCCAAAAAGCCAACCCTTCAGTGGCAGTACCTGGTAGTAACTGGCTTCCTGTGATGTGCCTGAAAGAGCAGGCTCCACCTACGTCTTGAAGCTAAACCCCTGTAGACATATGTGGAAGTTGTTGGCTAAAGGTCCAAACTCAAAACTCGTTGTACCTCCTCAGTAAAGCCTTTTCTGGTCCCCAGTCAGCTCTAAGTTATTTCTTTCCACTCCCCAATTCCTTGGTGTTCTATGTGTAAGTCCTTTTCAGTTCATTTCCTACTCGGGGCTTAAGGGGAAAGTTGCTACAACACATGGCAAGCAGTCAATAAAAAAATTGCAAATAATTGCATCAAAATGCCAGTTCATGTAATTTTAAGTCCAATGAGAAAAATCCCATTTTTCTGGAAAAGACTACTGATCTTTGAGATTTGAGAAGTAGCCAACTCCTGATTTTATTTCTCCCTGGTAAAGGGAACAATAATAGCCTGGCAAATCTATGGGGAAGAGCGTGTATGTATGTGTGTGTGTGTGTGTGATGGCCTGGTAAATCTATGGGGAAGAGGGTGTGTGTGTGTGTGTGTGTGAGATGGCCTGGCAAATCTATGGGGAAGTGTGTGTGTGTGTGTGTGTGTGTGTGTGTGTGAGAGAGAGAGAGAGAGATGGCCTGGCAAATCTATGGGG